GGCCGTGATTTGTGAGGGTTGGCCACTGGCCAGCACTGGGATCAGCCCAAGCAGTGGCCACTAGGTAGAGCTCCAAGCTCGCTGTTGTCTGTCAAGGGCAGTGTACATGCAGGGCTGAATTGTTACTAATTTGTATCACCATAAGTGCCTGGGAGTCTGAGTCCTGGACCAGGCCCCCATGGTGCTCAGCACTGTACAAACAGAACAGAGGGCTGGTCCCTGCCCCAAAGAGTTTACAAAACCCATACAACCCCCTTAAAATCAATGGGCATGATGTGCATCCCCATGTTTTGATGGGGTAGGATAGACCAGGGATTCTCAACCTTTTTCTTTCTGAGGCTCACCCCAATATGCTATAAAAATTCCATGGCCCACCGGTGCCACCACAATTGGTTGTCTGCATATAAAAGCCAGGGCCAGTGTTAGGGGGTAGCAAGGAGGGCAATTGCCTGGGGCCTCAAGGCCCATCTCCCCCCTCCCCCCCATGAAGCTACATTGCTTACCCTTTGGCTTCAGCCCTGGGTGGCGGGACTCGGGGCACTGGACTTCAGCCCCATGCAATGGGGCTTTGGCTTTCCATCCAGGGTTAGATTCTCCGCCTGCTGTCCTGGCTGGGGTCGGTGGCCTGGGCTACACAGGAGGTCAGACTACGTGATTTAGTGGTCCCTTCGGGCCTTACACTCTGTGTGCTGTGATGCACTATGCAGCATACAACATTCCAATTTGCTAAGGACTTTAAATGCACTGTGAACTGCTCTTGGCCCTTTTGCATGACTAGCCCCACAGCCGTGCACAGTGGAATCACAGGGGCTTGGCTTAGCTGCCTGAACTCGTCAGGTTCACTGGCCACTGCTTCTGCACGTCCCTGAGGTGATGCTCCTATAGGACCCAATCCTGCTCCCGTTGAAATCGATGGCCGATCTCGCAGCGGGACGATGATTGTCCCCAACTTGCAAGTACAAACGGTTTGGAAGGAAGTGTATTTAAAGTGGTTAATATTGTTATTTAGATTATGGGAACACACACAGGCCCCCACTGAGCTCAGAGCCCCATTGCGCCAGGAGCTACCCACACAGAGAGAGACAGTCCCTCTCCCAAAGAGCTTGTGCTGTAAATAAGAGAGGAATCAGAAATGGAGGGACTTGCCCAAGGACACCAAGTAGATGAGTGGCAGAGCCAGGCCTAGAAACCAGTTCTGTTGACTCCCAGTCCAGGGCCCTGGGCATTAGGTAATGCTGCCTCTCCGTTAAACAGTCAGGTTAATATTTTGCCCATTTGTGTGACAGTCTCAAACTCCTTTGCAAACATTAACATTCACTGCAGATCAGTTTCGTTAGTCACAATACAGAGACTAGGACGGAGAGAGCAGGGCCAACCTCATTTTCAGCAGGCTGAGCACCCTCAGCTCCCCCCGATGCCAGCTGGAGTTGCATGTGCTCAACTCCTCTAAAAATCAGGCTAGAGGTATCTCAAGTTGGGTGCCAAAAATCTGAGGCCACTTTTGGACAAAGTGCCTGACGTTCCATAGTGAGTCAGCGGCAATGAAGAAGATAGAACCCAGGAATCCGGGGTCCTGCTCTGGGTACTAGCTAAAACTTTCTTCCAGAGATGGGAATCGAACCCAGGAATTCCAGCTCCCCCTTCCTTTTCCTATCTGCTAAATAATATTCCTTGTCTCCTGTTTTCTTTTCAGTAACTGCTAAATTCAGAATTCCTCTCATTCCAATTCCTTACTCAAACATCACTGCTGAGGGGGAAAGCCTGGCTCTTTAATAAATCACCTTTGATGCATTCCCCCTTTATTTCCCCCCAGGGTAAATAATGTCAGGATATACTTCAATTACACAAAAGCGCAGGTTAATTTTAGACCCAACATTTAGATTTTTGTAAAAACAAGATTTTAAAGCTACTAAGTGCAATTAAAAAAAGTTTCCATTCAACAAAGAACCCTTTGAAAACAGTGTTTTTTTGTTTCCCCTCCTTTCATGGTGTGCAACCCACACACTACAACATTGGGCTCGTGCATGAGAACACAAAAGGGCAAGAGGCAAATCCAGTGTCATTGTCTGTGTAGTCTCGAGAGGAGACAAACAGTGAAAGATTTAAAATGTAAAAGCTGAATGTCTCAAACACTTTCCATTTTGATAACTTCAGGCTCTGTTAGGATTACAGGAAAAGATGTTTGGTTTTTGGAAGCTATTGGGCCAAATCCTCAGCTGGTGTAAATCAGCCTCCACCTATTGATTTCAATGCTGATTTACACCTGCTAAGAAGCTGGAGGCTAATCTGGGTATTTTTCCCCTTTAAATTGTAGCATGTTGGAAAACCCTGTGCTATGGTGAATTTCTTTCACATCTCTTTCCACACCTGTTCGTAAGTGGCCTGGTCTCTCATTCTGATTGCCACTTAGGAGAACTGGAAATCTCATTGATCCTTGTCCTGGAATTTCATTCAAAAGGCTTAATTATATTCTTTTAGCAAGAGGTGCTCCAATGTACAGAAGTGCCCTTTAACAAGTCCATTCCTTAATTCTTTCAAGTGGGCTTGCTGGAAGCTGGATGTTCTGTACCCTCAACAGGACAAAAATGAGAACCCCACTGGCATTATTTAGTGTGGCATCATGGGCCTTGGGGAGGTTAGGTTGACCTCACATGTTCTCTTTAAGAACCGGAAAGCTAAAATCTGGGAAGTTCTTGACAGCCAGTCACTGGGCGGAATGTACTTTCCCCTGACGTATCCATGTATTTATTTATTTATTTAAGCTGTGGAATAAACAAGTAAACCTCCCAGCCGAACGTCCCGAGTTAGCAGCCAATTCTCCTCCATCCTGCAGCCGACTATCAAATAAAATAATTCATGTGTTTCTGTCCATTTTGGATAAGCCTCTACGGATCCCCAGGCACTGCTGCTATTACACGCTGCCGAATGGTGCAGTGAGGTAAGAGGCTATGCTTTCTATCAGGAGAAAATTTTACATGGGGGGGAAACTTTAGAAGATAGCTGGAGATATCAGCCAAGAGCTGAACCTGGAGACAGGTTCAGCTCTTGGCTGGGTTTTGTTCTTGGCTGGCCACTTTGCTAAGTCCTAAAGGTGTTTGCATGTAAACAAGGTTCTCTTTCGCTTTGATCCTTCAGTGAAGTTACGGTGTTGAATCGACAAAGTGACTGTTGTGCTGTCAAAATAGAGGTAGGATGGTCTAGCAGTTAGGGCAAGAGGCTGGGAGTCAGGACTCCTGGGTTCTATTTCCAGCTCTGGCCGGGAATGGTCTAGTGGTTAGACCAGGGACTAGGCGCCAGGACGCCTGGGTTCTATTCTCAACTGAATCTTAACCTCTCTGTACATCAGTTTTCCTATCTTTTAAATGGGGCTTTCTAAAGAAGCTACTTAACCACCTTGGGAAAGCATGTTGAGATTCTCAGCTGAAAGATGCTACATAAGATGCTGTAGCCCACGAAAGCTTATGCTCAAATAAATGTATTAGTCTCTAAGGTGCCACAAGTACTCCTATTCTTTTGGCAGATACAGACTAACACGGCTGCTACTCTGACACCTATATAAATTCAAAGCGTTATTAGTATTATTTATTAACTCGCTGCAACCAGGGCCGGCTCCAGCTTTTCTGCCGCCCCAAGAGGCAAAAATAAAAAAAAAATTTAAAAAAAAAGCGCCGATTGGCGGCAGCTCAATCGCGCCGCTTGATTCTTCAGCGGCAATTCGGTGGCTGGTTCTTCACTCCCTCTCTTCCTCTTCGGCAGCACTTCGGCGGCAGCTCAAAGAGGAAGAGAGGGACTGAGGGACCCGCCGCCGAATTCCCGCCGAAGACCAGGAGGTGCCGTCCCTTTGTATTGGCCGTCCCAAGCACCTGTTTCCTTAGCTGGTGCCTGGAGCTGGCCCTGACTGCAACATTGAAGCAAAAGACATATGTGGGCTGTGAGCTAGTGAAGGGTTGCATTTGCATCCATACAGCTTGAGAAAGGACCAAGAAAGATGAGATGTATATGGAAAAGTCATTTTTGTACACTCACATACATTTCAGATATCATTTGGGGTAAATCTCCCCGTACTCGGTGTCCCCTCCCTCCAGACCACAGCATCAAATCCATTGCACAATAATTGGGAACTGACACCCATTAGCAGAGGAATAAAATGCACCCAAATGTGATTCTGCAAACAGCAAAACAGAAAGACAAGAAAGGATGGGGTCAGGATCTGCTCTTGCAGCCAGGGCTGGAGGAAGCCAAAATCAGCTTCTCAGCTGGGCTGGGCTCTGTTTGTTTTTAATGAGCAATGATGGAGAGTAGGAAGTGGTGCCAGACCCAAAGCCCTGACCCCAGTTCACAAGGCAGGTGCTTGATTATTATTATTGCTATTCGTTATTTATATTACAGTGGAGTCTCCAGGCCACAACAGAGATCAGAGCCTCACTGCTCTAGGCCAGCGGTTCTCAAACTGTGGGTCGGGACCCCAAAGTGGATCACGATCCCATTTTGATGGGGTCACCAGGGCTGGCTTAGACTTGCTGGGGCCCTCTTAAGACCCACACTAAGGGGTGAATCCTGCTCTTCCCATGACTGGAGAGGGCCCCCAGCAGTAGAACAGGTCTGGTGGGATGGGGGAGGGGCTCTGCAGGGATGCTTGGAACCGTGTCCTATGGGAGTTCCATGCATGTAGTGGGGCCCGGGAAGCCAAGGCCCTAGGCTCCCCAGTGCTCATCCCCATGGGAAGCATGCATAAGGGCTGGTGCAATGAATCACCTCCAAGAGATGGCGCTGCAGGATACCTCCCCATGTCCACTGTGGATCTGCCCAGGACCCAGTTTGACTGGTAGCTGGACTATCAGGGTGAATGTGAGGCTCTTCCCTGGGTGAGTTTGTAGACCGTCTGAGGGCCAAGAGCTCCGGGAAGGTGATCCCTGTGCTTTCCCCACATAGACAGGCTGCAGCATCCCCGTGGTCCCCCCTCCACTCCTGCCCATCCAGCCCAGATCCTGCCTGCAAGGATGCAGGGGATGGTGCTGTTCAAACGCTGGCTCGCTCTGTTTCTGCTTGCTGTCGGAGCTGGAGGGGCTCGGAGTCAGGACACCGGTAAGTGGGGACTGCTTCCAGAGGGGCGTTTATTCCAATACACTGCCTAGGGCAATCCCAATCCCTACAGGTAGGTGCTGATGACTCCCAGGGTGTACCCCAATGAAGACCCCAGGCCCTACTCTCTATGCACAAGGAGGGGCAGGGACTGGTGAGGGGACCCACAAAGTGAGACCCCAGGCCTTGCTGTCCATGTACACATGTGTGGAGGGGACTCCCAGGGCTGTACCCCCTATGGGGACCCCAAGCCCCATTTCATGTGTAAAGACAGAGGGCCAGATCCCCAGCTGGTGTAAATCAGGGGAGTTCTATTGACTTCAGTAGAGCTACCCCAGATTTACATCTGCCATGGATCTGGCCCGCAGGGTGGATTCTTTGAGAGGATGTGGGGGTGGGGCGAAGGGCCCTGGCTCCTGAGAGTTCCTTAGTATTTTGGAACAGCCGTGAAAAGTGAGCGGGGAGGGCATCATTTAGGGGATGTTTGCACTGCAGCTGGGAAGCCTGGGCTGACAGACTGAGTCACCAGGGTACGCCTGCTCTACATGGCCGTGGCTAGCCTGGGTCAGCTGACTCAGGCTCACGGGCCGGCTGCAGGGCTATGACATTGCAATGCAGACCTCCAGGCGAGCCCGCCAGTGGGAGGGTCTCAGAGCGTAGCCCTGCAGGGCGAGCCTGAGTCAACTGACCCAGGCTCTGAGACTCAGCACCGTGGGGTTTTTTATCACAATGAAGACACAGAGCTTAAGGCCAGAAGGGACCATTCTCTAGTCCAACCTCCTATATAGCACAGATCACAGGTCCATGCTTCCTCCACACTGAGCCCAACAACCAGAATCAGACGAAAGCACCACAGCCCCCAGTAGACCAGACGATTACGGGACACAGGCAGAGAACGGGAGGGACCGAGGTGCGCCTCCCTTACCTGCTACCTCCGAGCTCGGATGGCTAGCTGAGCCTCTGTTGGTGCGGCAGCATCCACACTGCTATTTGTAGCCCGAGTCTGTCTGCCCAGGCAGGAGACGCGCTCCCAGCTGCAGCGCAGACATCCCGGAAAGGTCCCAAAGTATGGCTGAGTCCTGAGAAGCCGTTGACCACCATGGGCAGGTGGGCGAGACCTTGGCACTCGAGTCCCCAGGCGAGTGTGGGAGGGAGACGGACTCCTCACCCCTTGGGCTGCTGTGGAGATGTGGAGGGGGCGGTGGTGAGTGAGAGGAGGCCGGGAGCTGGCTGGGTCTCCATGTTCTGCCCTGCAGGAATATGCCCCCTGCACCTGCTCGTCGGCCTGGACGTCACTGATTACCAACAGTCCAGCCTGCACCAGTACCTGGAGGGCATCATCTGGGAGCTGTTCTCCCTGACCAGGGTCAGCTGCGCCCATCTCAACGTCACCCTGAGCATCCAGAGTGTGGACCAGGGCGGCGAGGTCCTCTTCCAAGCCCGCCTCGCCAAGTACCAGCACGACGTCTTGCAGCAGCTGCGTGTGGTGCACGCCTTCAGGCGCACCTACCTGAACCAGCCCTCCCTGCACAGACTGCTGGAGATGAGCCGAGGCCTGCCAGAGAGTAACAAGGTAGAGCCTCAGCTGACCCAAGAGCTCCGCATGGGCACATCCTGCAGGGCAAGGACACCCGCTCAGCGGGCTCCCTTCCTCGGCTAGCTCTAGCCATTTAACCCCCTTGCTGCCAGTTCCCTGCTCAGCTCCCATTGTTCCACCGCTTTTTCACAGAGGAAGGCTCCTAGGAGCTCAGCAGAGGGTTCACCTGGCTGCCAAGGTCAGCACAGCAGGTGCATCTGGCTTGGGCAGAATACCTGCTACATCGGGCAGAATCAGAGCTGCGTTGCTGCTTCTGGGGAGTGTTGTGTGGTCCCAGGCTGGGGGACACCAGCTGTCTCTGCCCTGGATCCTGCTTCCTCCAGGCTGATGTGCCCCAAATGTGTCTGTGCCCCAGGTGCTGCTCCTGTTTACGGACGGGTTGGACGATGATGTGAGGAAGCTGGAGGAGATGTCAGCCGCTCTGCAGGTGCAAGGTATGTGGCTGGATCACACAACTTCCTGGCGACCAGTGGTTAGATCTGGAGGGGAAGAGGTCTTCAGAAAGTTAGACTTGGGCACAGTCAGACCTCAGGAGGGGATTGGGCGCAGGGACATTGATGGAATGTGGGGATCTCAGGACGGATTGAGCATGGTGTCTCTGTTCCCCTCTTATCCCAGGGACTGTAGTCCTTCACTACATTGCGTCTGGTTCCATGATACCACGTTTTACCATTGCCCCATGGTGCTGATCTGCCCTGGCACCATCCACCCCTTCCCTCTGAGGATCGCAAAGCACTTTACAAACATTTACTAATCCTTATCCTCCCTGTGCGGCGGGACAGTGTTATTGCCTGCATCCTATGGATGGGGAAACCGAGGCATGGAGATGTTGAGAGACAGAGTCAGATAAAAAGAACAGGAGTACTTGTGGCACCTTAGAGACTAACAAAGAGTCAGATAGGGAGTCAGGTGCCAAGTCACCTAACCCACACCCCGCTGCAGTCAGCAACCTGTGTCTCCCCCTGCTCCATATGCCACGCTGACCCCAGCTCTGGCCTCATTTCTATCCTAGGCCAGCTCGACGCACTAGTGACTATCGCAATGAACAATGCTACCAACGTGGAAGAGCTGCAGCTCATTGAGTTTGGGCGAAGGTTCAGGTACAGCCAGCAGCTGAGCATGGAAAGCCCCGAGATTGGCAGCGTTTTGGCTCAAGAGCTGGTAAGGGAGGGCCCCTTCCCAGCAGGTTGGCTTGTGGGCCCAGGGGTCTGACCCCTTCTAGCAGAGGGCAGAAATACTTGACAAGTATCAAGTGGTGGGTCTATCCTTTGGGGTCCATCCCTGGCCCAGCTGTCTGGGTTGCACAGAAGCTCCTCTGCTCTGAGTGAAGGAAGCCTGATGACCAGGCTTGTCTTCCTAGCAGTGGTCAGTCACTTGCTCTGTGTCAGCCTGCAGCTCCCCTGCGCCTCGCACGAGACCCCAGGGGATTCGCTCTCCGGGCCATGGGGCAGAGGTCCCCAACCTGGCTGTGACGCTGACGCTCTCTGTCCCGCTGCAGCTGGCTGTGTCAGAGAGGAAGTGCTGCCACCCGTGCCCCTGCACCTGCATTGGATTGCCAGGCTCGCCAGGCCCCTTGGGCGTTCCAGGGCGCAAGGTAAAGCGCTTGCCGCGGGTCGCCGGTCCTGGTGCTGCATGCAGGGCTGTCACATGCAGACTCTGCTTTGGGGGGGCAGGGGTCTGTGCTGTTCCCTTCCAGTGCTTTGGATCAGACTCTAGCAGGAGTGTGAGGCTGTGTGTCTCACAGCCTGCACCCCCGCACTCTGCATGGAGGTGACGAAGCAGGAGTTGTACTCTCGGTTCCTTTACACTGGTGCAAAGCTCCACTATCCACGTCCTGCACGAGTGTAAATAGTGACTCCTGCAGATGAGGCTCCAAACTATTCCTGGGAACAAACTGCTCTGCATGGCTTTGCAGCATATCTGCACTGGTGGTGTGACACCAGCAGAGCTGCCAGTGCAAAAACACCCTGTGCAGACGAGCCCTAGGAAAGCGCTTGTTCCCAGCTACATGCCTTTTGCACTTACTCACTGGTCTGAGAAGTCAGGATGAGGCGAGATGTTTGCACATCTGGATCTGCAGAGCAATGGGGAATGATAAAAAGGCACAAGGGGATTTTTGTTTTCTATGTTTCTGAGAAGAGTTTATAATGTTCTCTTTCCCTTCCAGTTGGGATAAATCTCCTGGTGTCTCCAACTTCCATTCCTATTGGCCTTGCTGGGCCTATGTTGTCTGACCCAGCTGGCTGGTCCCTACACAGCTGGGACCTTGTCAACTTGGCCTCTATGTTGCCTGAGGTCTATCATCTGATGTTGTGTCAACTGGATTCACCAGACATTGAAGCTGGTCTTAACCACTTAGTCATAGTGATTAATTCTTAGCTCTTCCATACTGAGTGCTTTCCTCTGGAGATCTCAAAGCACTTTACAAACATGATTGTTTTACTAGTGGAGAAACTGAGGCACAGAGGTAAAGTGATTTGCCCAAGGCCACTAGACTGCACTCCATCCCAGGGTTGGAGAACCTAGGCATCCTGAATCACAGTACCTTGCTCTAACCAGAGCTGAGGATAGAAACCAGGAGCCTTGGCTCCCACAGCCTCTGCTCTAGCCACAAGAGAACTCCCTCCCCGAGTCAAGACTAGAACTCTGGGGCTCTGACTCTCAAACTCCTGCACAGAGGTGGGAAGAGAACCCACATAGTCCTGATTCCTAAGCTCCTTGCTCTATGCATGAGACAACACTCCCCTGCTGTGCCTAGACCCCAAGACTCCTGGCTCCCAGCCCTGTACTCAATCCACTAGGCCACTACTGTCCCTTTAGTTGAATCCCCGATTAGGCAGCTGCACACAGCACAGCCGTTACTCAACCCAGACCCCAACCCCTCCCAGTTCTTAGGCTGCGGCACCACCATGTGAGCCAAAGAGATTGCTCTGAGCAAGTTGGTAGGAGCTGTGCAGAGCTTGTCCTCAGGCGCTTGCCTTAATTCTGCACTGATGCTCCCCTGTGTTATCTGGGGCTCACAGGCTGGGACTTTATGTCCTGCCGGGTCCTAGCATTCTGGGCACTGGAAGGGGAGTGAGCCCAGAGCTGATGCCGCTGACTGTTCTCCTCTGGAGTGCTCAAACTGGAAGCTAGTGCGTGGCGCAGGCTGTGTCCCAGGGGAGCTGACTTCAAATGTTCTGCTGTCTTGGCTCTAGGGGAGGAAAGGAGCAAAGGGGCTGGTTGGAGACCACGGGCACTATGGACACAGCGTGAGTAGAACTGTTGTCTGTTTCTGAAATCTCCAGTGGAGGGGTGGCTGCTGCTGGGCTCCTTGACCCCAGGGTGGGCCCCACTTTGTGGAAATGGGGTGTGTGGGATGTACCCCACAAACATAGATCAGGGCCGATGACCTCTTTCAAGGACAGAGATGCTGGGCATAGGGTGGGAAGGCCGCTGGGCATGGCCCTTGGCGTGTACTGGTGAGCAGAGCGCTGGCCATAAAGACCTGATCCCCTCCCTGCATCTTCAATCGGAACAGCATGGGGTGGGAGCTCTGGCATAGCTTTGCCACACCTGGTGTGGACACTGGAGTTTGCACACCTTGTTTAGAGCTTGGTGGCAGCAGGGCAGCTCGGAAACCAGAGCAATCATAAAGCCTGGGGATAGTGCTGGAGCCGACACTTGTAAGTATCCCATTGGCTGAAGACAGCCCTCTCACCAGCTGCCTCTGGCATCCCCTGGGCAGTGCAGGCTAGAGTCCCAGGTGCCAGAGGTGGAACAGATCAATCAGAGCCCATCTAATTCTGTCCCTCATGGGCCAGTGCAGGATTGTGCCCTGGAGATTCATCTACTCTGCTTCTGAAGTCCATGTCATGGGCTCCCACCGCTTTCCATGCTCACACTGGCCCATGAGTCTACAGCCCAATGGCACTAGGGAGCGTTTCCTGATACCCAGTCTGGATTCTCCTTAGCTCAGCGTTCTCCCATTGCAACTCCTGCTTATACTCCCTAGACAATTCCCCTAGCCAGACAAAGCCGGCTCTGGGGAACTTCCAGCCACTCACCTCCGTAGGGATGTATGTGTTGCTTATCTCTGAAGCCTCCTTTTTCACTGGAGTGCTTGAAGGTCTCTCCTTTCCAATCCCAATTTCAGGGGGAGCAGGGACTGCGGGGGCTCCAAGGGAGCTGGGGAACCCAGGGATGCCCAGGCCAGTGTGGACCCAAGGTAAGATGCCAGACCCAGCCTTGGCAGCTGCTTTCCCTTTGGTTCAGAGATTCCTCCATCTCACTGACTTTCTCTCTCTGTCTTGCTTCAGGGACTGATGGGATACCCTGGAGAGCAGGTACAGAGGCCTTACTGTTCGGTGTGCGTGTAGAATCTAACAGGCAAATACCATGTACATCGTAGAGCGAACCTTAAGATGAGCGTGGCAGGACTCAGCTTCGTGGCTCATCTCCACAATAGCCAGGCCTGCTAGTCACGCTCTCTCCCTAAACATCTCCCAGCACGTGGCACTCCAGGAGCACTCCTCTGGGGCCAGGCAGTGCAGGTATGTGCAGGTGTGCCAGGGAATCTGCGCCATCCCGGGCAGATGGAAGGCCAACACCCTGAGCCGTACTGTTTGCCAGCCTCCAAATATCCACCTGCAAAACTGGTAGGAGCAGCGGGCCCCTCAGTGCCTGGTGTTTCCCTGGCACTCCTGGCTGCGCAGCGGTGAATGGCAGGGGAGGAGGGGCTGGACAATGAAGAGCAGAAGGGGAGGTGTCTCGAATGGGAGGGGAGGTGTCCACAAGGCATCCTCTCTGCTAAGATGCAAAATGTTGAGAAGGCCTGGCCCTAATGGATGTGGCCAGGAAGGACATGAGCTGCTCCTGGGCCTGCTGCAGAGCGCCTGTTTATTCAGACAGGTCCCAGGTAGCATCCAGGACTAAGACAACTAAAAATCTCTTTCCAGGGAGCTCCTGGGGAAGCTGGATACGATGGCATCCCTGGGGAGAAGGTGAGCTACGCAATTGCATGTCCTGCAGCAGAGCTGGGCAGCCCCAGGTCCCTGCGCCGACCCCTTTGGGCCGCGCTCGCTGTGTGTCCCCTAAAACAATCCACCCTATTAAGCTCCACAGCTCCTGGAGAAATGACAGTCCTCAGCCAGAGCCGAACCAAGGCTTTCAGGGGCGAATGACACCAGTCTCCACTGCTGGAGCTAAAACTCTAACCCAGAACCTGTGAAATTCATGGCCAGGCTCTCAGTGAGCTCTGGCTCGTGCCCTCTGTCCTCTTGCTGGCATCTCCTGGCCTCTGTGGGACAGGCACCGAGGGGAAGATGCAGCACGCAGTGAGCACTTGGTCTGGAGCTTCCCCTGTCAGGAGGCAGAGGATCGGCCCTTAGAGCCCAACTATCAATCGTTGGAGCTCCAGGGAGACTAGAGGGCATCAGCAATGACTAAAGCATAGCAAGGGTTCACCCCTTTCCTGAATTCTCTCATTCCCAGGGGGAAGCCGGTCCGTTTGGGAATCCTGGGACAAGAGGATCCCACGGGAGGCAGGTAAGTGGGCAGCAAGGCTAAGCGGGTAAAGAAGCCCCGGGAGGAGGAGAAGGTCCCATGCCCACGTCCCCCGGCCCTATAGCATCGTGACCTCAGACCCCTGATCCAAGCACTCTGTGTGGCCTACTCCCATTGTGATGCTGCTTCCCAGACAGCCACTCACCTTCAAGCGGGTGCCCCTGGCAATGCGGACTCAGCAATAGCCTCCTGCACTTCCCCACGTTCACCCCTGCCGGCTCCGTGCTGCTAATCCCTTCCTCCTGCCTTGATCCAGGGGCGGAAAGGCTCCCGGGGTCTCCGTGGCGATGCAGGGCCTCCAGGATCCCCCGGCGATGCTGTAAGTGTGGGGGAGAATTGGGGGGAGTTAGTTCTTGCAGTGCAGACCCTGTGAGCGTTGACTTCTGTCTGCTCACTGGCCCCGGTGCGCAATGAGTTCTGTGGGTCTCAGTCTAAGCCCCTGAAATCACCGTGGCATTTGGCACTCATTGGCCCACTGGTCGGTAGCCTCAGTGGAGAGGCCAAGGGCTGGCTGGGCCACAGAGGAAATGGGGTGGTTTTGAGAGTCGTGCTGGGGCGCGTTGGTGGAGCCGTGTAGGGGGGAGTTTGCCCTACTGTTGCCTATGCCTTGTGAATACATACACAGACCTTCTCCCCGCATCACCCCTCCCCGCACCTCAGGCAGGGAATCTGGCCCCTTCCACCAGCGCTCAATTCGCCCAAGCTGTCTTACCCAGCAGAAAAGCAAAGGGCGAGGGAGGGCTGCAGAGTGCACAGCTGGGGTCCCTGGTGGGCAAAGGGGACATGTTAATCCCAAATGCCCAGCTTCAGAGACAGCATCCCCTGTCCCATTCCAGCGAGGCACTGACCAGGGCCAAGTGGGCATGTGCCCCGTGCTGGCCACCCTGCCACTTGCAGCTGGATCTTGCTCTAGGCAGCAAGTCTGGCTTCAGAGCCTAAGGGGAGAAATGAATGCTGAGTTCACTGGCAAGGAAGGGGCTAGGAGGAGGATGGGACAGCATGTGGGCTCACCCCCTCTGATTCCGTGCTCCACAGGGAAATCCTGGGAGAAGCAGCACAGAGCGTGGAGCCCCCGGAAGCAAGGGAGAAAGAGGCACCCAGGTAATGGCAATGAATCCGTCCCAACTCTCTGAGCCATTAACGACTCCAGAGAGACGCTCCTAGACAGCCCTGTTTACTGCAAGTCCAGGTAAACAAAAGGTGGCAGCTGTAGTACCCTGGGCCATGCTCCGTTCAGAGCTCGCAAGCTGAACAGAACCAGACCTGGGCAGTACTTGGCTGGGAAACCTGTAAAGAATATGCAGGGTGGTGCACTGGCGATTCAATAGGGAGGGTCTGACGAGAGTGACCGTTGGCAGTAATTTCTGCAGGGTCAGATGTTTCAGTGTTGCCAAGCAGCCAGTGGAAAGGGGTACAGGCTGGAACAGGAGCAGGCACCAGGGCAGTGTGTTAACCCAACTAGCAATGGGAATGCACCCAGTCATTGAGCAAACAGGAGCCTGCTTCCAATACCTGCCTTGGGATCACCTGGGTGGGTTCTTGCCTGTGGATTGGCTGAACCCTGGTTGAATGGCTTGGAGCCTATCACAAGACCAGTAGGTAATTGCCTCTGATTCATCACACAGTGCTGGCCCAGGGATGACTCATCAGGCTCAGGCTCGGAAGTATCACAGATGTAAGCCAGAGATCCTGCCTGCTAGTGGCTGGTCATAGGAAGCCTCCTGGAGCTTTTGGTGATAGTAGAAATGTTAATGCTGGCTGAGCCCCTGGGTTGGAAATTGCTCCCCACAATTTCCCTGGTGCAGGGAATTCATCTTCCCTTCCTGGCCCTCACCCGGTGTATTGCGTTGCTGCCACGTTGTGTTTGATGGCCGGTGAATGGATTTTTCTCTGGGGAGGCAGCACGGTCTGTTGGTAGATTTGCAAAGGTGCAAGGTGGGCAGCTAGGGGAGATCAGTGCTGTTTGCGGAGAAGGGGAGTTCCCTGGATAATAATGGCTAGGTATTTGCTCCCCTAGGCTGCTCCATCCAGAGGCTGGGGGTGCTCCGGGGAAGGCGTGCGCAGGGCCTGTTGAACGGTGCAGTGGGGTTGGAGAGCCCCCTGGAGAGCAGGGGAGCCAGTTCTCCCCTTAGGCACTATCCACACCAGAGCACGGTGCTGATTTTGCACTGGTGTGAATGGCAGCACAGGGCAGTGCAATGGAGAATCGGGCTCCTGGTGAGGGGCTGGGAGATGGAGCTCGGTGGGGACATCTCCCTGTGCCTAACGAAGGAAGAGACCCAGGGGCTGTGCAGGCAAGGTGGCAGTGTGGGACCCCTGTCCAGTCTGCAGCCCACCCCACTTGGGGTCTGCAGGAGGTGGTGAGCTGGCTCCGTGGCCCTGCTGCAATCAGACCAGAAGCTGGACACACTCATCCCAGGCCATTTCTCACAGCTTTGTTCTGCTTCTTTTTCTGTTCCCTTCCCTGAACAGGGGGACTCTGGACCAGAGGGCAGTCCTGGGCCACCTGGGTCACAGGGGCCAACTGCAGATCTGGTACGTTTCGCTCTCATCCCGTGCGGGATGTCCAGTGCCTGTCCTAAGCCCCTTGTGCCCTGAACTTCCCCCAGCACCCAATACCCCCAAACCCTGACCGTTAGCAGGTCACTGAGACCTCCGTCCACCCCTAGCCAGGTGAAGGTGGGGAAAACAGCTGGCCCCTTCCCTAGCATGTGTGTTTGATGTCAAGGCCCATCTGCCCAGCTCCTTGTTCTGTTTCCATGGGGCAGGGGAGGCTGGGAGGCACTTATCTGTAGCTTGTACAATAAAGCCATGAAGGTCCTGGAGGATCTGAGCTGCCATCAGCTTCTGGAGCCTGCTTCCTGTCTGCTGGGAGCTGGTATAATTGCAGGCAGGGTCCCCTCTTGGAGAGCCCCTCCCTGTCTTTACTTATACCATGCATCCTCCTGCCCCACGGAGGTCTGTCATCCCAGAGCTGGGCAGAGCTCCCCACTGAACCCTAGATTTCAATGTGGGGTCAGGGTTGGGCTGTGCAAATGGCACCCCAGGAGCTGGGTGAGAGCTCCCCCAGGCACCCAGCCCCCAAAGTCTGGCCCTGGGATCAGAACTGGCTGTTGAATCTGTCTCTGTCTCTCTCACTATCCTAGTGTTTGCCCAAGGCCACTGGGCTGAGCAGAGAGGGCGGGGGCAGTTTTGGCCTCCAGCATAGTGTGAGCCTGGCTGGGTTGTGTAGTAAAGAATCAATGTCTGTCTTCTTCCCAGAGCATGTGCCTGAAGGGGCAGAAAGGAGCCCAGGTGAGAACTGATGAGTCTCTTCCCCCCTCCCCCCCCCGGAGGGAAATATCCTTATCCCCAGTTTGCCGATGGGGAAACAGGCCCAGAGGGGTCCCAGTTCTCCTCCTCTCACCCACACAGCCACACTTCTTCCCAGAGAGAACCCAGGAGTCCTGACTCCAGCCCCCCTTCTCATTCTGGAATCTCTCTCTACTAGCTTTTGTTGTTTGGTGAAATTGTTTCCCACATGTCTCTCCTCTCCCCCACCTCCCCTGGTCCAGTGTTTCCACCTGCTCCTGTTGGCGAGGCCAGTGTGCACCAGTAGCAAGTCCCCCCCCCCCACTGCACCCCCACAGCAGGTGGTAATGATCCACTTTGCAGGTCCCTGGAGGAGTTTTCATCCCTTCCAAAGAACACATTCTAGCAGAGTCATTGGGTTGTTTTCCACCACAGGGCAGGTTAGATTGGCCGGCTTTAGGGGTGGGGAATGCCCCGACAGAGTCCAGGCTCAATGCCTGAGCTGCATGACAGACCCAGTCCCTCTGGATCCCGGTGGGTGGAGTAGCCCAACAAAGGCCATCCTGGCCTGTTCAGAACCAGTTGCCCGCCTTTGGGACTCTCTGACCTGGTGCATCCTGGCTGCAGGGTGTCCCCAGAGGGAGGGGTGAGACATCTCACTCTGGTCCTTTGGATGCATCCAGACTGACCCTTCCTGGTCTCTCCGTAGGGCAGGAGGGGCATCGCAGGTGCCCCAGGCGCTGCTGGGGAGAAGGGCTACCAAGGTGCACAGGTGAGGCCAGCTGGATCCGCCTGCGGGTGCCTGCCTCGGGCAGTCTTCCTGGGCTTGCGCTTGGAGCATCTAAATTTTCCCTCTGCTGCTTCTGTTCCAGGGGCTGCGAGGTCTCAGAGGGACAAAGGGCGTCGTGGGTCACCCAGGGTGCCGTGGAGCTCAGGTGCCTGCTCTCAACTCCCCCAACTTTACAGCTGGCCAGAGATGAGGACGGTGAAATGGGGGAGTGGTGCTTCTGCTCAGTCCCTCCGGTGCTGGAATCCATCCATTCATCCCCCAGCCCCAGCAGGGACCCAGTGGTGTTAGAGGGCAGAGTCTGTTCTCTGTGGTTTAAATGGTTCCCTTACATTGTTCATGTTTCCCCGGGGACACACGGGTGTTTGCTGCAGGCTCCAGGGCATCTGCTCTGCCAGTGATGAGCCTCCTCACTACAGGGCCCTGTCTCTGCTGGAAAATGGTCCTAAGGACTGCCCTGTCCACGCCTGCTGCAGCTCTAGTGACACGCGCGTCCAGGCAGCCCTGCTCTGCCTATGCCTCCTACTGGCGGGTCCTCCTTGCATCTCCCAGCCTATCACCCCAGCAGGTGGAGTGAGTTGAGCTAGTTGCCGGGCATTGCCCCAGGGTGTTTTATCTAGTTCCTCTTACGCCAGGGGGCTGGATGGTCCTGGCACCAGAGCCGTTTTCAGAGTTACCTTTGTCTTTTGCCTAGGGGCGTTCTGGAGATGTGGGCTCCCCAGGAAACACCGGCCCCACTGGTCTCCAGGGTGAGAAGGTCAGTGAGATCAAGGTGTATTGTGTAACAAGGCCATGCTGCAGATATCTCCCCACAGGTTCTCTTGACTATTGGGTGTGGCTCTGTTTGCAAGAGCCCTTCCCTGGTGGCTAAGAATGTTACCCCTGGCCCAACGACTGTGTGTGTGTATGGGGGTGGGGTGCATTAATTAGATCTGGGTTCAGGTAAAAAATCTCCTGAATTTCTCATCACCACCCCTGAAAGTTTGCCAGGGCACAGCATCCCCTTTCCAGCCCTGTTGGTCCAGTAGCACTTCCCCTGAGCTGGCAGGCTTCTTTCTCTTCCAGGGGCAGGCCGGAGGAAGAGGCGAAAAAGGGAACGCAGGGTCTCTGGGGCCCAAGGGGGCACTGGTAAGTTGGGTGCGAGGAACGTTGGCATTGCTCTGGAACAGGTATATTTCTCATGGTGCTGGACTTGGTCAGCCAAGCATCCGAGAACGGGAGCTCCTGGCCAGAGTCCACTGCAGATGGGAGCTAAGTTTCCCACCCCTCCTTTTCAGGACCCAGCTGTTCCCCCTTTTGAGACCCAAATGACTTGTGGGATCTCCAGTGGGAGTCCCCTCCCAAATGCATTGCAGCCACCCAGCACCAGTGCAGAGGGACCTAGGACCTGGGTGTTGGGTGAAGATGCTCCTGGTATGGTTCTGGCTGTCCCTTAACGAGGGGATGCACGAGAAAGAAAAGTCACCTCCATTCTTGGTCCAGGGTGCCTGGGAGAGGATCTCCAGAGCGCTTTGCGATATGTTCCCATCCTGACCACTTGATTGTCCCCAAGCAGACCCCCAGCAAACTGGGGAAATTCACAGGACAGGCTGGCACTTTCAGGCTGGACTGGGACAGAGGTATTGTGCATGTGCAGGTCCTACAGTAATTATGTGTGTTTTCTAGGGGGACAATGGATGTGATAAACGAGGATCTCCAGGGAGGAAGGGCCCAAAGGTAATCGCTGATGCCGGCAAACCAGCAGCATTAACCCCGCATGGGCAGAGTCCATTCTCCTCTCCCAATCCCCTTGGCCTCCGCACTTCCCTTATTGAGCCTGATTCTGGTCTCACCGACACTGGTGTAAATGAGCAGTTGCTCCACTGAAATCATGAAACCAGCCCCGGGCCTGGAATTCTTCACTTTGCCCTAAACTGTTGCTGTGTGCTGCAGAGCCGGCTGCATTTCAGCGCTGGGGGAAGCTGTTCCTGAGTGTGGAGTGTAAGGAGCTTTAGGATCCTACCAGCCGAAGGTCACTGTGTGGGCATAAGGTGCTTATTCCAAAGGCTTGGGCTGGTGATTGAGGGATTCACGGAGGAGCCCCATTCCTCGTGGCATTTTGACTGCAGATGGGAGCCTCCATCCCTATACACCGCTGAGTTCCAGCCTCTCCATTGTGACCATGAGCATTGCCTGCTGCCCTGTGGTCCAAGGGCCCCGCTTAGCTTCGCTTCCTGCCAGGATCCATTCCCTGGGTGCATTCACCTCTCTCCTGCTTTCTTGTGTAGGGCTCCCGCGGAGTCCATGGAGACCCTGGTGCTCAGGTGAGTGGAGAGCCAGCGGTGCCCTCTTTGCTCAAGAGCTGCTGCCGTCAGCCTGTGGCTAGTGGGAAGGTGGCTGCTTAGCATTGTCGTTTCATGGTGACTGTCGGGACTAGGGATAACTACCCAGGGTCTGGCAGCGCTTCCGTGTTACCTGCCAGCTGCGACTCTCTGTCGCTCAGCACGGGCCGTGGAGGCAAGGTTCGCATGGAGGGCATAGGGGACAGGAGGGCTGGGGACTAGTGGGGTTGCTATGCAGGATCTCTATAAGTGGGGTGTGAGGGACGTCCCTAAGGGACAGGCAGTGCATTCCTCTCACCCAGTGCTGGTGCCTGACCCTGCCTGTCTATTGCCTTCTATTCTCAGGGTGAAAGAGGCGACAAAGGTGCCAGGGGGGACAAAGGTTGGAAAGGCCTGCGTGGATCCAGGGTGAGTACGGTGCTGCCATGGCCTCCAATCCGAGTCAGGCTTCCTTCTCAGGATGGATCCAGAACATACCCAGTCTGCCATGCCACAAAAATGCCCATCTCTTCCCCCAGTGCCAACCCACACCCTATGCCTAATGCCCGCCTGCTGTCTTCTTCAAAGCAAGATTTGTTGTGCAATCCCAGCTGGTCATATGTGAGCAGCCAGCTCCCCACAGGAAAGCATCTCTGATCCACCTCTGCTAAACACCCCACTCTCCTGCTCCCAAGTACAGACCTAGGGAGAGGGGCCCTTTGCCCTGGACTGTAGGTGCTAACACGGCAGCCTAGGCTCTGGAGTAGGGGGATGGGGAGGAATAGCACCTCCCTGCTGACTGAGTTTAGCTGGTGGATCTCATTTGTTCCTGCCTGTGAAGAACGGGGCTATCCCCAGGGGCTGTTTCTCCTGTAGGCTGTTTTTTGCTGACCTGCAGGTTTGTGTTCTCTAAAACTGCCCCCAATCTTTCAGGGGCTTCTTGGGAGAAAGGGAGACCAAGGGCTGCGTGGAAGCGTGGGACCTCCAGGAAAGATGGTAGGGTCTCGATGCGTGGACTTCTTGGTGGGACTGCATTTGGAGGGGTGGGGAAGTGGGTCTGGGGGCACAATCAGCCGGTGGCTGTGTCTGGGCTTATAAAAGGTCTGGATGATTTATTTTGGCTATTAATAACCCAGCTCTTCATGCCGAGATAAGGGTCACCAAACCTCATGCTTCAGGGCATAAACAGATTACCTGCCAAGGTCAGGAAGAAACCCAAGTCCAGCATGGCCCTGATTGGTCAGGTGTATCAGAGGTATGTTCCTCTGAGGAACTAGATATAGGCCCTTGCTAGAGGCAGGAGACTGGCCCTGGTGGAAAAATGCTCCCACTCAGAAGGACAAATTTTATTTGCCTAAGTGGGTGCTTGGTGTGTGTGAGAGAAAGTGTGTGTGGTGACTTCACTGCTCTGAGTCCTCTGGTGCTTTCTCAGTAAGGTTTCTCACTGCCTTTTCATTCTCTATTTTTCCTTTCTGCTTCAAGGGTCTGAGAGGTTTACCTGGAGTTCCCCTCTTTACGGTAAGGGGTTCTTCTGTTATGCAGTGTCTCGCTAGCTTGGCTGTGTGCTCATTGGGTGGGTCAGGAAGGGTGTGTGATGGCTTGGGGGGAGTGCTGTTGCAGCCATGTACAGTATCCTCTTGTCTCTGGTGCTCCCTGCCATAAGAGTTACTACTCACCCTTTAAATTCACACCAGCTACTCCTGACTCTCACCCCCATGCTGGGTGCAGCTGGCTCGCCTTCTGAGCTGTTGCATCTCTCTGAAGGCCCATGAGACATCCCAGCAGGAGGAGACGTTGTAGACATGACTGTCCTTTGAGAGACAGGATGGGGCAGGACTTAGCAGAGATACTCCAGCACAGGCAGTTGTGTGCTGGGTGTTTGTGTCCGCATGAGCTCCTCCACACCTGGGGGAGCTGTTTGTGGGGTGGATGGAACCCAAGAATTGCCCTGCACACAATATGGGTGGATCTAAGTCTGAAGAGGCAGCAGACCGTGCAAGGTCATAGTTTGAATGATCACATGCAGGCGGAGCTTGGTTTATGGACAGAATTTGGGTAAGTACCACCCAGAAAGTTGCTCTCTGGTGGAAATACCCCAAGGATACAAGATCATATGTTAGTTCAGTCCTGTGAATGACAGAAGGAGCTTGCAAAAGACCTAAACACACAGAGAACCCTGGGTCTAGTTGGGTCTATTGCATCACAGCCTCTGGGGTCAGCTCCGACTGGCCCACAGGTCTCCCTCCCTGTGTCACTTGGGAGAGCTGGGGAGGCAGAGGGGGAACCCCATTGGCCTGGAAAGAAAAGGCAAGGAACAAAACTAGAACTGACCTGGCTTCCCACTCTCCCTTCCAGCCCTGTGAACTAATTGCCTCTATCCGAGAGAGATGCGGTAAGTGTTCAGCTCTGCCAGCATTGTGAGGAGCTGGCAGAACTGGGGATGGGAGGTCTGCTCTAGTGAGAAGCACAGTGAAACCAGCAGCATGAACTAGGACCTGAGAGACGTAGTTTGCTGTGACAGACAGAGGTGCTGGGAGTTTCGGAGTGACAGATGGACATGTTGGATGGACGGACAGACGGATGTGGCAGGGACAGTGGGACATGCTGGGTGGGTGGATGGACAGACAGACAGGTGGGTGGATGGATGGATGTGGCAGGAACAGAGGGACGTGGTGGGTGGGTGAACATGCCAGGGACAGATGGATGTGCTGGGTGGGTGGATGTGGCAGGGACATTATAAGATGTAATGGCTGGTTCATCCTGCCCTCTGCCTGGCTAGTGGTAGTAACTGGCTCACTCTCTGAATGGGTAGCGCTGCCCTCTGAGGAGGAGGGCTCTGTGCTGCTCCAATGCGCAGCCCCAGGGACAGCCGCCATGGGGTCTTTACTTTTTCCTTCTCTGTGCAGACCCCGACTCCCTGGCCTGCCCGCTCTTCCCCACTGAGCTGGCCTTGGTGGTGGAGAGGTCCGCCAATGTCACTCCCGCTGAGTTCGACCGCATGAAAGACGCCCTGGCCTTCCTGCTCCGGGACCTGCGCATCTCCCAGGGCAACTGCCCCACCAGGGCCCGTGTGGCCCTGCTGTCCTATGCCTCCACCCCCACCTACCTGCTGCGCTTCACCGACATGCAGACGAAGGGGCTGCTCCTGCGGCGGGTGGGGGACCTGTCCTATGTGCACTCTACCCAGAGGGGCCGCCTGGCTGCCGCCATGAGGTTTGTGGGCCGCAATACCTTCAAAAGGGTGAGGCCAGCCTTGCTGGGCAGGAAGGTGGCGGTGTTCCTGACCAGCGGCCGGGGCCAGGCCCAGGAGGGCATTGGCAAGGTCGCCCTGGAGTATGTGGCCCTTGGCATCGTCCCGGTGGTGGTAACCTTCAGCTCCCTGCCGGTAGTGGAGCAGGCATTCCAGGTGAGCAGGCTGGGCCAGGGTACAAGACTGGTACCTCCCTTGTAGGGGGCCAGCCGTACATTACATAATGCTGGGCTGGTTTTTTTTTTTTAGTGATTTCCCACCCACTCACCCCCTTGTATCATGAAACAAACACACTGTCATGTGAAATGAAGGACCAATCCACCCCTTACTGCATAACGTAACTTAGGGACAGCCCCTACCCGCACCGTGCAGAGGGCACTCAGTGTGAAGTGCTGGCACAGTCCATGCTGAGCCCTCTCTGGTGGCTGGTCCATGGCAGGCCAACAACCTCCTAGAGCTACCAACTCTTTAGCTCAAGTGGAAGAGTACTGCACTGTGGTGCTGGAGGTCCTGGGTTCCTGCTGGCAGTCCATGGAGATGGGGGATCTTCAGGGTTGTCCCCTCTAAAACACTGTCCTCTGGGGTAAGCTGGCTGCCTCCCCTTGTGCCAATGGCTTTTGGCCACGTTGTGATGCGCTGGCTTTGCACATCTCCATGGATGTTTGGGGATATGTTCACGGCCTGATCTCTCAGGAACGTCCCCCAGGCTTGTGCCCTGGTAAATAACCGCTTGGCTAGGGGTTGCAGGCAGCCCGGCGAGAGCCATCGCTTGCACCTCTCCTGATTGACTTGTGCAAAGTCTCACATGCGGCTGTTGGCAAAAGCCAAGACGCCTGTAAACAAACAGGAGGCTCCTGTGGCCAGGCTGTAGGACTGGATGGGTGGTTCCTTGGCTCTTCTCTGCTGCCTGATGGGGTCTGCTCTGTGAGTGGGGAGGAAGAATCTGCTCTCCCAGGCTGGGCGGTAGCTCTGTTTCCATCACGGCCACTGGGCCAAATCACCCCTCATTTACACCCTGTCCGTCTACCTCTCCTGCCAGATGGACGAGACGTTCAGAGTGGTCCAGCTGCCGGCTGCGGACTCATCCCAGGATGTGGAGGCTCTTCGGGAAGCTGTGTTCCTCTGCACACTCTGCTTTGGTAAGACGCTTTGCTGCTCCATGGGACTGACTCTTGGCTTGAAGAACCTAAGAATCAGTCTATACGGCAACGAAAGACCCATGGCACAGCCGCAGCTGACTTGGGCTCGGGCCGCGGAGCTATAAAATTGCAGTGTAGACGCTCAGGCTGGAGCCCAGGCTCTGAGGTCCCATGTGGGGGGAGGATCTCAGAACCCAGGCTCCAGCCCGAGCCCAAATGTCTACACTGCTGTTTTTAGCCTGAGGAGCCCAAGTGCTGCAGTTTTATGGCCATGTAGATGTACCTTAGAGGACCAGAGGGAGTCCCAGGCAAGCTGAGATATACCTGAAGGCTTTATTTCCCCATGTCCTAGAGCCCCTGCTCCAGAGCTCCCCCTTTCCCTTCGGCTTTGGCCAGCGAAGTTCCGCATATTACGACTCCAACCTGGGTGTAGGGTCTTTCCCAGACCCCCTTACCATGCTGCTGTTGGGCTCATTGCTGTGAGACAGGAGCAGTGGAAAGTGCTTTGGGATCTTTGTAATACCACCAGCGCACGCATGCTGCAGAGGGAGGCAAACCCTCCCCTGCCCATGGTCACTGCTGATCTTCCTTCCTCACCCCATATCTGGAGATCAGTTAGACCCTGTGCATGCGAGCAAAAACCAGCCAGCCAAGCACTTGAGAGAGAATACTCGGTGACACCACAGAGCCCTGGCCCACCCCCGTGTAGTGTCCCATCTCCATCCATGGCCATCCAGAGACTGATGGATTTGTCCTCCCCTCCAGTGCTAGTCTCTCTGTGTCAGAGAGATTCAGTGACTTGCCCAAGGTCTCCCAGGGGGTCTGTGGTAGAGCCAGGAATTGAACCCAGATCTCTTGAGTCGTAGCCCAGAGCCAGAACCCACAAGACCACCCTTCCTTTTCCCCCTACAAGTGACATCACAATGGATAGCTTCCTGCTTGTGGGTGTATTTCAGCTGTTGCTTCAGGAAAGATGCACCATTACTTTCTGTCCCTCCCCCTTTCCCCCAGATATATGCAAGCCCGGGAACTGCACGAAGGAGCCCCTGCTGCAGAACCCGCTGGGGCTGGACCTGGATTTGGCTCTGCTGGTGGATAACTCCCCCCTCGCCCTGCCAGTCGGGAGCCTGGGGAGAGTTGCCCATCTCTTCAGCAGCATCCTGGACCATTTGAAAATCTCTCCCCACCCTGAGCGGCATGACAGTGGTACCCGTGTCTCCCTGGTCCTGATGGGGCCCTCGAGCGCTCACCTAGCTTCTGGAGAGGTCTTGTGGGAGTTTCCTTTCACCCAGCATGGCTCTAGAGAGAGGATCAAAGAGCATCTGCAGCTCTCACTGGCTGCCAGGGAGGCAGCAATGCCGGCCAGCCAAGCCATGGAATGGACCCTGCGCCAGGCATTCCGGGAGAGCCCTTCACACAAGCTACGGGTGCTCTTTGCTGTAGTTACCAGGGAAACTGACCTGTGGGACCAGGAGACGCTACCAGAGCTGTCCCGCTTTGCCCAGTGCGGGGTGTTTGCCATGTTCATCCTAGCCCTGGGCCCGGAGGGGGCTGGCAGGCAGGAAGGGATTGTGCCAGAGCCGCTGGCTTTCCCAGCGTGGAGATACCACTTCCTGCGGCTTGGCTCAGTCCAGGAGCCGGAAATGGAGTATGCAGAGAGGATGGTTCTGGGGTTCCTGAGGAACCTGCTGGGTGAGTGACAGCTGGGGCTTGAGGATGGGGGGAATTCCCATCTGCCATGGAGACCACAGCACCGCCTCCTCCTCCAGCCATGGCACTGACTGCAGCAGTCACGGACAAAGGGAGAAGGAGGGTTTGTCCAATGACCCATCAGCAGGGATTGACTCTGGGACATCCTGCCCCACAGCAAGTGCCAGTATGCCTTGAGCTGAGGGAGTAACCCCTGCTAGCTGGTGGCAGTAGTAGGCAATTATCTTCTATATGAAACAGTCACTAGAGGGGCTGGTGACTCACTTAGCCAGTGCATTACATTTGGACAAAGACTTTCTGAGTGCTCCAGGACATAGTTTCCAGGGCTGCATATAGAGGGGAGGCAGTGAGCCTCACAAGGTAAGGGGCTGGGCTAACTGGGAGGCAGAATGGAGGCCTCGCTCATTCCGTACCTGTTTGCACTTTACAGTGGAAAGTCAACGGCGTCCCCTGGAACGCGCCAGTGCTTGGTGTCAGCTGGAGCTCTCCCCCACCAATCCTACTGCTACGCCTCCACCTCCAGTGAGCCCAGATGGGTGAGTGGATGGCACGTATTGATCCTGCCTTCCTAGACCCTCTTCTTAAGTGCCTGGAACACAGCAGGGGACTGTACCCTGGCCGAGCTACTTGTGGCTGCACTGCAGGCTGGAACCCCCACATCTCTGCACTCAGGGCAGCTGGTGCAACTTGGCTAGCCCAATGGCAAATTTTCTTCCTCTGCTGTTGGGGGAAAACATGCTTCTCCAGGTATGGCCCCCAGTGCCCAGCCAGCCAGATGAGTCAGCAGAGCACCCTCCCCAGATCGGCGGCTCCTAGGAAGTACTGGCTCCAGGAAGCGGGGGCATAAGCAGAACATGGGCTGACATATTAACAGTCAGGAGCTGCAAGCGCAGCAAGAGCAATGGGACCTGGAAGACGGGAGGCTGAGGAAGGTGGGGAGGGAGGAGGCTGGGAGGATGCAGGAGTGTCTGCATTCCTTACTCTTTACACGCACCATTTCTGGAGTGGGGCGGGGGCTGAGGCTGCATTCCAGGCATCTGGAATTTTTTCATTAATACAGTGAGACTCGGTATTAATGGACCACTGGGGTTATTGGAGGCGGCCAGACACCTGCCCGAAGTAAATGCCAGCGTCGTGTGCCAGGTCATACTGGTTCTCTCTATCTGGGAGGGTTCAGTAGCACTATTGCTGTGGGATCTCAGCACTTGCATGGTATTCTTGGGGGCAGTCTCCAGTCCAGATCTGGGCCTGGAAATATCATCTGAGTTTCTGACCAGGCCTTTCAGAGACACCATTTTCAGAAGCCTTACCAGCCAATCTGGACCTGTCACTGAAGAGTCGATTGCTTTAACAGGGTCTCCAAACCTGGTGCTCTGCCTCAAGATGGGATGGAGGCCACCACCATCAGCCCCAGTGAGGTGAGAGGTGTTGTGGACGGTGACGATCCGTGCTTCCTGGGCAAAAACTCTGGCGTCAAGTGCACCAGCTACTCCTTATTGTGGTACTACCGGGTGGACACGGGTTCCTGCGACCGCTTCTGGTATGGTGGCTGTGGCGGCAATGCCAACCGGTTCAACAGTGAGCAGGACTGCATCCGCGTGTGCATTGACCGAAGTACGTGGGGCAGCCTGTGACTGTCCATGGCTTGGTGTCAGGGAGGGATGTGTGGAGGCACAGGGACCTGTCCTGGGGAGATGGCACCAATTGACGAGATGAATTCAATTAGCTTCATCATCTGTAAGGCTGAGCCAGAGTTTGGTCCAAGGCAGATGGGCCAGAATTGCCGTGGATTCTGGGACTGCAGCTATCTTTGACTGAACTCTGGTTCTCTCACACACTATTTTCCTTGGCTGTACAGCTTTTATCTGCTGCCTCGCCAAGCCCACTGCAGTTGAGCCACAGCTGCTTTCAACACCCCACAATCCATAACAACTCCATCTCGAATGGCTTTGACTGAACGCTGCCGCAACCCACTAACGCGTTTAAGGAGTTGCCTCAATGTACCCAACACCTTTGCTTCTCAGCCAAGGTGCTAATGACTTTTTAATGTGCTCTTGCTCCAAGCAGAGACAGTCCTGACTGATATTTTCACAGGGAAAGCTGGCTCCGTAAGGGGGTGGGGGCTCAGCCTCACCTGTTCCAGGTGTATCCCCACCTCCTCAGGTGAAGGGAATGAGTCCAAGGGGTCACATGATGGGAGTGTGTGACTCAGAACCAGGCCTGCTAAGGAATATAAGGGCAACCAGAGTTCAGCTACGTGCTCCCATAACATGACCTCTTGGAATTGTTCCCTTCACCTGGAAAGGTGGGGCTACAACTGGTACAGGTGAGTCTGCCTCAACACCTCCTTAAAGGGGCAGCTCACCCTTTGACAGATGTCGTGGTTCAGAACCCAGTCGTGCTGTTGCCGTTGTCTAATACACCATATACTCTGTGCCAGCACAAGATTAGCCCAAACGTGCCGTGACTCCAACGGCTGAGATTGCTCCATCCTTGGATGCAGGGGGAGCGACTGAAGTGAAAATCGTCCTGCATTGGTTCCGTAGCCTGCGTTATGTTGTCACTCGCCTTGTAGTGATGCTCTGACCGTTGTGATTCTCTTGGATGCAGGTACGAGTGCAGCCGGGCTTGGGGAAGAGAAGAACTTGACTCAAGGTAAACGCTTTGTGGAAGGACCGAGGGTGGAGCTCTAGCATCCTTCGCAGCAGTTCTTGTGAGCTGAGCCGCTCTGCGGGAGGGACCGTCTGGAAGCCTTGCATAGATGGCACATTGAGTTTTCAGGGGAAATAGTGCATGAGTACACGGTCTATAGGCTTCCCTGTGTAAGCCTTGTGTATCTCCTGGGGAAATCCAGTGTTTTGCAGTGATGGGCCACCTCAGAGTTTGGAGGTTCCATTGGGCTAGGCATGGAGGGAAATCTGGTCTAGTGGAGAAGGTCCTGGCCTAGGAAGCCTGGGTTCTAGTTCCAGCTACGGTGTGATCTCAGGTGAACCCCTTCAGTGCTCTGGGATCCTTCAGCATGAAATGAGCTTGTGTGGGCCAAGCCCTGCAGACCTTGATAATCCATTGACTTCAGTGGGAGTTCTGCCTGCCTGAGCAAGTGTAACCCCGGCCCTGGTGAGTGTCTGTTACAGGTCCCCCTCTGTGCCTATCCACAGGGCATGAGAGTCTGCTGCAGTCCCAGCCAGAGAGCCCTGCTCTTCAGCTCAAGCTGCAACAGCTTCTGCTTTTAGCTCTGGAGGTCCCTGTTGTGTCTGGTTTGCCCTGTTAGCAGCACCCCATGATGTCTCCGACTGCATCAGGAGCCCTCTGATGCCTGTTGTGTTTTGCAGCTGTGTGCCTGGAGGACAGAGACACAGGCCCCTGCCACTCCTTCACCTTGAAGTGGTTCTTTAACAAGACCCAGCCTGCGCGCTGCACCCCCTTTTGGTACGGTGGCTGCGAAGGAAACAGGAACAGGTTTGAGACCCGGGAGCTGTGCGAATCCACCTGCCTGCCCTTAGCAGGGCAGATGCTGCTGCTGCTGCAGCAATCTGCTGGGGAGTCCCTGCAAGCTGACGACGAGTCCAGGCCTGGCTGTGCAAGTGGGGCAGATGTGTGAGGAGCAACCAGGAGAGAGGGAGAGAGAGGGGAAGCTCATGGCATCTTTTGTCATGCAGTCAGGTTAAGCTGCTCCCCATCCTCTGCTACTGAACAACCAGACACCCTTATGCACAGGGCACATGTTACATGGAAGCTGTGGCTTTTAATATGCAATGAACTAAATCTCCCCCAACACACACACCCCCGCCCCAGGCTGCAGCCAGCAAGTTTGCATAGTATTCTGCTTGCTGTCGCTGGTGCTCCCTTCATATCTGCTCCTTGCTAGGGTGACCAGACAGCAAATGTGAAAAATCGGGATAGGGGGTGGGGGGTAATAGGAGCCTATATAAGAAAAAGTCCCCAAAATCGGGACTGTCCCTATAAAATCGGAACATCTGGTCACCCTACTCCTTGCCCATGTGGCTAGCTGGGACACCACATCCCAGTTTCCAATACACGTATGCCAAGAGATCCCAGAGTGTCTCCCCCTTCACACCCAGGGTGGCCTCCAGCCACAAACCCGATCTCGCTTTTCATTAATGTAAACATCTTGTAAAGGTGGCTCAACTGGGAGGCCGGAACGACACACAGCACACATTAAAGGGACAGATACCAGGATGAGTAAGGCTTCCTGGACTTTTGATGTTACCCCGCATTGTTCATTTTGGGTGTTTGTCCCCAAAGGGTCATCGCTGATTTGCAGGGAACAGAGCAAAGCGAAACAGCCACATGGTGTGGGAGGGAAAGTTTTATTTGATTCTAATCCATCCCTGTATAAACCCTCATGATGTTTGCGGATGAGAGAATCGGCACCTGGAAAAATGCACAAATATGTTGGCGGCAGATTTTTGAAATAGCCGTGCATCCTACAGCTCCCATTAAGCCACTTAAATAAGTGGCTGGCTGGAGTTCAGCAAGAGCTGCTGGGAGCTGAGCCATCGTGAGGACCTGGTCCTCTCTCTCCCTGGGCTGTCATGTCCCAAATCTTGGCCCACTTTTGTATATGCAGATAAATGAGGCAGTTGTATAACTTGTTGCCTGACTGGCACGTTTGGGCATGCCCAGCAGGCGGGTGCCCCTTTTTTGCAAGTGCGGTCTCTCGCAGCCCCAGAGCTGGAGAGCGGCGCTGAAACTCAGCCCCTCATTCTTGTAAGAGATTTTGCTGCTCTGTGCCTAGAATCTGTTAAAATGTAAAATGATATTTTTTAAAAAAATAAACCCATGTTTCACACTCGCTGGTGCTGCTTGGTTGTAGAAGCGGTGATGGAAAGGTGTAGGGATCTGGGTGGTAAAGCGGCTGTGTAACTCTTGATTTCTCAGGCTGCCTCCGTGTGCCTAGCAGAAGATGAAGCCACAAGAAGGGGAGAGGGTTTGTTCCAGCTGTCCAAGGAGGGGTAACGAGGGAAGATGGGATGAAAATGAAGAGAGAGAGTATAGGGGGATGCATTTCCCATTGGTGAGGAACCCATGGGCTGTGGGATAATCTCCCAAGGGAATGGGTGGGAGCCTTATTGCTTGAATCACTTTAAAAGTAACCAGAGCTGGGGCAATTAGACAGTAGAGAACAATCCAGCATTGGCCAAGGATCTGTTCCAGTGGAAAATCAAAATCCCCTCTGGAGCGAAACCGTCCCAACTCCTGCCAAGTACTGAGCAGTATTAGCACACCCTGGCTGGGGCCCACGCACCCCAATTCTGCAGGGGGTCATTAGAGAACAGGCTCCCATGTAATCCCCACCACCTGGCTTTCCTTCCGGCCCATCAGTCACCAGCTGATGTCTGAATGGGGGCGAGCACCGAAATGTCTGTGACGGAAGCTAGTTCATAGATCATGTGGCTGTACTCTGAGTCTGGGTTGGTGAGATGTGCTGTTGCACGTCCCTAAGAAACATACTGGAGACGTGTGGGGAAAATACAACCCAGCTCCATAGCTACAGATGCAGGAGGGAGGCAACTGCATTTAGGGTGACCAAATGTCCTGATTTTATAGGGACAGCTCTGATTTTTGGGTCTTTTTCTTATATAGGTTCCTATTTACCTAGGGTTACCATTCGTCCGGATTCCCCCGGACATGTCCGGATTTTAGAGCTAAAAATAGCGTCCGGGGGGAATTTCTAAATGTCCGGACTTCCCCCCGGGCTCCGACAGCCAGAGACAGCCCCTCCTTCCCCCTGCAGCAGAGATTGCTCCCTCCCTGCATTTGCAGATCACCAGCCGGCCGTTCGCACTGGCAGTCTGGAGCTCCTCCCCCAGCTCCTTCTCCCGGGCACGCTGGCCTGAGCGGCAGAGTAAGGAGGCCAGGGAGTCAGAGAAGGGGCAGGGAGGTTCTGGAGGGAGCAGTCAAGAGACGGGGGAGGGGTCGGGTGTTCGGGGGGG